CCTTCCTGGACAGTTTTCGTGAAATGAACCGTAAAGTTATGGATTTATAAGGAAAGGATACAGAGGGACCGGTATTGAAGCGTTGTTTATCACCAGCCCTTGGCACCAGATTTTGGGAGCAATACGATTGTCACAAGATAACAGGAACAGTACAACAGCTGTAACACATTCAGGGGACAAAAAAAGGTAGACATCGGGAATGGGCACTGAAGAGGGTTTACAACAGTGAGAACGTAAAGGACAGGAAAACCAGAGAATAACAAAACTAAAAAAGTCATATTGGCATTCCTGACACAAACAGATTGTGCGAAGCCATCCAGTTGTAACCATGAAACCACAGAGGACGCTGTATATATTTACATGTACAAATGAATAACATCTCGACAACAGGTCTTTTTCACCTCTTCAAGGAGATTCTTCAGACTGTCTATCCAAAGAAAAGGTTACATTATGGCCGTTATCGTCCACAATGTCATTAATTTGGTCTGTATCGGAACGCCCGTAATCATCATTGGGATGTCACAGCAATATGGACGTCCTAGATACCCCAACAAAATTAGCATCATGTACGATATCAGATACACGGACTGTAACATTTCGGAGAGACAGAAAAACGGTAATGATGTCCAACAAAGCTAGTACAGGAAGACACATGGTAAATTATATAGTGACCCTCTTCACCCCACATTAGTCGCCTCTTACTATCATACAGTGAGTTACAGCGAACCAATTCTTTCCCCGAACTGGACAGAGACGACAATCTATGCATTGGCACTCAAGATTCAATAGTCCTCTCGTGTGTTATTAATATAGACGTGTATAGTTATCGAAGTACTACATCACATATATCATATATAATTTAATGTGTTATCGATATATCATATTCATAAAACATTGTGTACATGTTAACAGCTGTGAACACTATGAAATAAACATTCATGACACAGCTACGTGTATTGTTTCGGCGAAAATATCATTATTATGTTCCCTCCAATATCTTCGAACATATATTGATATCATTCGAACAAGACATTGAATACATTTTAATGGTGACCACAGGTATACGTAGGACGCTGGGGTAAAAACGTATCACTTATTTATGTATGTGTAGCCATCTATCAAACATTTACTCACTATGGTTTAAGAGTGATTTTGTTTATGTAGCCATCAATTAAAATATGCGCATTATTTTATTGTATCTTTAGCTGCAGCAGTTAAGACGAAATAACCCGAATAACTAGCGTGGTTGTACACTGTGTGTAGGTCAGTGCTATTCCTACCTGCTATAAGAGCGGGATAATTAAATAAATATATAGGCTACACTTAAATTACTGCATGGCTCTGTTCAGCAATACCATTTATAGTCAGTTTCTAACAGTACAGCTTCACTGCTTCTGTCGAAATTGTGTAGCCCAACAGCGGGATTACAGAGCTGGCGTGAAACGTTACATGTCAAATGTTGTGGTCGTTGACGTCGGCAGTATGCCTTACTCTTTGTCGACAATACACTTGTGAGCTGTGTCTACCCTATTCAGTCTAGATCGGCTACAGCAGACAGATATTCACGCCCAGACAATGAACAGAAGAAATAAAACAGTCTTTTAGATATACTGCTCTGACACTTCCTGTCAGCGTCTGCAACACAGAGTTAAGTTTTGAGTAGCTGTACATCATAGGGCAGAAAACACTTCAAAACTTTTAACAGTCAGAAAGGTGACGGGATAGGTAAATTGTATAACACAATCTGGATTGTTTAAAACACAATTCTTACTTAACCTTAAAAAATGTAATTTCGGCGTATATGTATAGGAACCACAATATGTGCTTATTCAATTCTAAAATGACAAACTGATAAAAAGTGCATTGCATGACATTTGATAAATATATTTTTAATTGTTTATGCATGTGTTCAGTTGATAAATCTGTGATATTATCATCTTACCTATGATATAATGTATATTCCACCAGCGCGTTTACGTACGTTGTATCTATTTTAGTTTGTACATGTTCTAATATTAAATGTCTCACTCATGTTATCAATTCTGTACATTTTATGTCGACTACATGTGAAATGACTCTCTGCCTCAATGTGTTATCAAATCTAAATAAATTCTATAATTTCCCGGTTACGCCTGCATGTTTCTTCCCTTTGTTCCTATATTTATTCTGTTACCAAGTAGTTAAAAGGTTTGTTCCCGGAGTCTGTTACCGGCTAGTCTTGCATCTTGCTTGTTTCTACAGTACTTGTATGTCCTATTCAATGATAAGTCTATTTACTGTTTCTGCATAATCCTATATACAGTATTGTTACCTGTTCGACTAGACTGGCCACCATCTCTGGAATATTGAACTATTAAAACGTCTGATCCTAAATTCTAAACTAGGGGGAGATAAGCTAGTAGTATGGTAGTAAAATGCAGATGAGAAATTCTTCATAAAAACTTTGGGGCTGGTAGCCAGTCTACTGTTAGACCTAAATCCTGCTTTTCACTTCTCCTGTTTCCGAACAACGCACGAATACACCAAAAGGAACGGTATACAACATAAAACACTTTTCATGTAAATAATGCAGAATTTATATTTTGCAAATAAGAATGTTGATAGTTTTCAGCAATAGGAGAGTTAACCGAAATGAAATTAATTTCCGGAAAATGGTACGATGCTTGTTTGTTTGTTTGTTTATGTTTAACGGTCCATCGACGGCTGTGGTCATTTAGGGCCATGGTGATTTATTTATTTATTAAATTCTTTTAACAAACATGTGAATAGCGAAGATAAAATTAGATAAAATGGTTCATTTTAAAAGCACTCGCATTGTATGTGTAGATAATTAAAAATAAAAAGGGGGTTAAAATAATAAAAGAGATAACGAATAGATGATATGGAATATGCGATATATAAAACGTCAAAAAGGGTTAGGTGAGTTAAAAGACGTCAGAGTCTATAGAATAGACCGGTGTCTTTCAAGTAGTTAAATAATGCCTTCTAGTCCACGGAACTGAAAAGAGTTTTCATATCCGGGACTCGAAAGTAGTTATCACGAATGTGTTTAAAATCGGAACATTCTATTAAAAAATGTTACACTGTAAATGGAGGGTCACATGTGTGGCCAGAAGGTGGATCTTCTCGTTTAAAAGGTACGAATGCGTAGGATACGTGTGCCCAGTGCGGAGTGCCCAGTACGGAGCCGAGCGAGGACAACTTCCTCTCTACGATCTTTCCGACTGGGAATAGATGTTTTAAGTTTCGTTTGTATCTTAAAAAGTTTGTTGGTGGTCTCGAGAGACCAGCGTTGCTGCCATTCATTTTGAATGGTTGTACGAATAGTAGGTTTAAAATCTGCGTATGGTAGTTTGATATTTGTTTGTTGGAGATTTAATGCATTTTTTGCTTCCTTGTCAACATATTCGTTGCCTTTAATTCCGACATGGCTCGGAATCCATAGTAAAGTTATCTGACTTATTTAAGATACGAGATATTCGAAGAGCAAGGGTTTGTATGGGGGTGTTTTTAGGATCTCGTAACTGTAAACTCTGTAGGACAGATAGAGAGTCTGAACATATGATTGCCTTTTTAATGCGGTGTTCATCGATATGATCGAGGGCCAAACCAATGGTGCATGCTTCGGCAGAAAAGATGGAGGCGCCGTCTGGTAGTCGAATTGAAGTGCAAGAATTAGCAGTCAGCAGGCTGCTGCCACTTTCTCACCTTCTTTGGAACCATCGGTGCAAAGTTGTGTATGAGAAGGCTAATTCGAAATGCATTTCCGAAAGGAGGATTTGTGTTCTTCGGGCATAACACTTGATTTCCCTCGCTCATGTAATGTAAAGTAAGAATCAGGTGTTTGAATGGTCCACGGAGGAACATCAGATATGTTAAATTCAGCTATGTCCGTCAACTTTATGTTGAGTTCTTGCAGGAAATTTGAAATTCGGATGCCAAATGTTGGCAGAAGTTTTGGTTTTGCGTAAATATGTTTTGGTATTTTGGGTTGAATACTTGGTCGAAAGCAGGATTTTTAGGGCTTGATTTTAATTGAGCTGCAAACTGTAATGCAAGTTTTGTTCTTCTGTCATAAAGGGATGGTTCATTTGCTTCCACGTACAGGCTTTTACAGGTGTTGTTCGAAAAGCTCCAAGGTCTAGACGTAGCCCTTGGTTATGGATTGGGTCTAGCATCTGCAGGTACGAACTGCGCGCCGACCCGTATACCATAGAAGTGATCTGTATAGGCGCAAAAGCATTTCACGGTCCGCTTGGTGCATATTTTGTTGCAATATAGTAAAAAAAATGTTGTTTTAGAAAGTAATTACGAAATATGAACAACATCCTGTCATTTACATTCTCGAATCATTGTCTTCAGATTTTATATCTTGTTCCCAACTACTCCAGGTTTTGCTCCAAAATCCTACTACCGATTAGCTCAATGATTTGCTTACTGTTATCACTAGACCCTGTTTCCTACTTAATCTGGTTCCTGGGTCACATTTACAATTAAAGTCCTGCCCCCGACTACTGCTTCATCTTGCTCCCGACTAGTCCTATACCTTGCTCTCGACTTGTCCTATTTCCTACTCCCGACTTTTCCTATACCTTGCTCCCGACTTGTCCTATTTCCTACTCCCGACTATTCCTATATCTTGCTCCCGACTTGTCATATTTCCTGTTCCACACTATTCCTTGATCTTGCTCCCGACTATTCCTATACCTTGCTCCAGACTTGTCTTATTTCCTACTCCCGACTATTCCTATATCTTGCTCCCGACTTGTCATATTTCCTGTTCCCGACTAGTCCTGTATCTTGCTCCCGACTAGTCCTNATCTTGCTCCCGACTTGTCCTATATCTTGCTCCCGACTAGTCACGTTTCTTGCTCCTGACAAGTCCTATATTTAGCCCGCGGCTGTTATTTGATCATTCAAAGACTTTCGTTGGTCCTTATATAACTGGAACTATTATCTTGTTCATTCTAGTAATTAAACTTTGTTATTTACCGTTACAGAACACGGACACTGTGATACTGACAGATGAACAAGTAGCAGGTACGTATAAGTTGTTCAGGACTGCGTATATACCGGGCAGGGGCAGGACACGGTCGGGGTTGTACAGATCTGGGGCAGG